GGGTTTGTGGAGCCGCCGTCAGGCGGAGAGACCTGAAACCTGCGGTTCTGCGCTCGGAAATGTGTCGTGCGTGGCTCCCGGGCAGGGTTTCTGCTCAGCATCGCCTCGTTAACACTTGTTGAAAAGTCAAACCCCGTCATTGCGGGGCTCGCAGCTGAGCGGTGGCACCTCCAGCCTCTGGAATTCTGCTCGGGCCGGGATTTTTCTCCAGTGGTTTGTTGTTTTTTTTTCCTGAGCTGCCCTGAGTGGGGAGGAGGGCAGGTCCCTGTCCCCCCTTCCCCGGGCACAGCGGCCCGTGCTGGGCACAAATCGGCTGCCAACCCTTGGATCTGCTTGACCCGGGGGTGGGAAAGTTAATGTTTTCAGGAGTCTAAACAAGGCGACGTTATCTCCTCCGTCTCGCTGCCTCCCGGAGGTTTTTCCCTGTTGTTGCAGGAGTTGAAATAAGCTCGGGCAGGGAGGGGGGAGAGAAGTTTCCCAGCCCAAAGCGTCGCTCCGGTTTGTGCTAAACCTTTTGGTGAAGTTTGGGAGGGTTTTTCTTTCTCTCTTTCTCTCTCGGCCTCTCTTCCCCCCCCGCAGATGTTGATGGATGTTGTTTCTTGTCTGTGTGATTAGAGAGAGGAAGGTGAGAGCCTGGGGCTGTTCTCAGGTCTGTACTGACCTGCTGGGGAGGAGGAGCTGGCCCTGCCCCATCCTGCCCACCACCAGCGTTGCCCACCTCTCCTGGAAATCCTCTTCCCTGCTCCTTTTCTCCCTCCCCCTCCAAAATAAAGTCCAGCTCGCATTGTCCCTTGGGATGTGCAGCCTCCTCTGGACTTGATGTCTCTTGTCACAGCTGCTCTTCCTCCAGGACCTCAGGGCTCCTTGTCCCCTCTTGTTCCTTGGGGCAGGTCCTGGCTGAGCCTTTGAACCAGCACAACTCCCAACGTTCATCCTCCCACAGCTCCATCCTGTTGCAGCAGAGGCTCTTCCCTGGATTCCTGCCTCTTCCCAGGCCTCACATTCCTCTCCCATCTCCTTACCCCGGGCAGCTGAGCTTCCAGAGATGCTGCTTTGGTCCTGTCCCTTCTCCCTTGTTGCTCCTCCCGAGGAAAAGCCTTTCAGGGTTTTCCTGACCTCGTGTTTGTCCAGGTTCCCCCTCACCATCTTATCCAGCTGAAACAACCCTTGGCAGCTGCTGTGGTCCCTGAATACTTGGTGACTTCCTACATATCTGGTTGGGGTTTTTTTTCCCCTTCTTTTATCAGCCTGGATGATAGTGAAGGTGCCTGGGCTTGACCAGGGGTGAAACCTTCATATCTCCTGCATGTCCATCTCCATGGAGTGGGAAACCTTTGAGCTGGGCAGTTCCTGCTTCTTGTCTCTCTGCTGGTGTTGGGCTGAGAGAGGTTCCTTGTAGAAAATGTCAAGTGTGGGGAGAAAAAGTGGACCTTTGTGTTCTTTATCTGCTATTAAATCAGCACGAGTGGGTGTTGGGCAGAAAATTCAGTCCTTTTATTAAGGAAAAAAAAAACAAGCTGATAGTTAAATTTGTTGCTCTTGGCATCTTCCTTCCTGGGTCAGGGCTTGTCCTGGGCCTGAGTGTTGGCCAAGAGCTCCACAGAATAATATCATGGGCTTATGGAATAGTTTGGGTGGGAAAGAACCTTCAGGATCATCTAGATCCCATCCCCCCCATGGGCAGGGACACCTCCCACCAGCCCAGGCTGCTCCAAGCCCCATCCAACCTGCCCTTCAACACCCCCAGGGATGGGGCAGCCACAGCTTCCCTGGGCAACCTGGCCCAGGCTCTCCCCACCCTCACACTCCACAATTCCCTCCTCAGCTCCAACCTCCAGCTCCCTCTCCCACTTTTCATCCCTCCCCCTCATCCCATCCCTCCCTGCCCTTGGCCCAAGTCCCTCCCCAGCTTTCCTGGAGCCCCTTCAGGCCCTGGAAGCTGCTCTAAGGTCTCCCTGGAGCCTTCTCCTCTCCAGGCTCAACACCCCAACTCTCCCAGCCTGGCTCCAGAGCTGCTCCAGCTTTGGATCATCTCCATGGCCCCTTCATGACATAAATGTTTCACCAAGGTGACACTCTGGTCGTTTTACCCCTGGGAAGTTTCTGTTGGGAATCAAGAGCTTTCTTGTGGTTGTCTCTTTGGTGCAGCTGGTAAATGGGAGACAAATTGGACACATCCCATGTGGAGATGTTGGCTGGTGGAGCTGATGCCTGTCCTGGAGCTGAGCAGAAAGCTGGGGTGGGCTCAGTTATAGAATCTCCTTTTCTTGTCTGTATTTCCTCTCTGGTTTAAGCCAAGATGGTCTCAGAGTAATTAAAAAGTCATTAAAAAGCCCATCAGGAACAGCCAGTTGAGTAATGAGGGTGAAGCTCCTTGTACAAAGTGTGTTTTGGACCCACTTGGGTCTCTGGTCTGTGGTCTCAGCTTTGGTCTCTCATGGATTTCTGCCTCCTGGGCAGTTGAGGTGGATCTTGTTTTATAAGTATTAGCTCTAAATCAAGGAGCTCAATGAATTCTGCCTTGGCTGACATGGGTGTCAGCCTTGTGGTGGTGGAGGTGGAGGTGGGAGTTGTGCTCCTTGTGGTGTCTGGAAGTTCTTCTTGGGTTTTCCTGCCCTCTTTGAGGGCTGTGAACCTTGAGTTGTTGAAATCCAAGGTTTGTGTCTTCAAGATCTATTTTGTGTGATGAGGATGGGGAGAGCCTGGGCCAGGTTGCCCAGGGAAGCTGTGGCTGCCCCATCCCTGGGGGTGTTGAAGGGCAGGTTGGATGGGGCTTGGGGCAGCCTGGGCTGCTGGGAGGTGTCCCTGCCCGTGGGGGGGTTGGATCTGGATGATCTTTAGCTCATGGAATGGTTTGGGTTGGAAGGGACCTTAAAGATCACCCGGATGATCCATTCAATGATCTTCAAGGTGGCTGCTCCATCCCTGGAAGTGTCTAAGGATCTAATGTGGGGTTTGGAGCAGCCTGGGCTGGTGGGAGGTGTCCCTGCCCATGGGGGGGGGTGGATCTAGATGATTTTTAAGGTCTTTCCAACCCAACCCATCCCACGATTCTCTGAGATTTGAAATCTGCTCATGGATAGAAAGAACATCCAGTGTCCAGTGGGTTAATTAGCAGCCAAGTGCTGAGTTTTAATTAAACTGCAGAAAACCCACATTGATGGGACAAAGATCTGAGAGGTGATGGAGGCTGCTGGAAAGGTGTCTCCAGATCCTGTTGGGACTGCTCCAGTTGGAGTTCCAGCTCCTGACTGCTCCTCACTCCACTTCTTCCTCAACCACCCAACCCCCACCTGGGTGGCTGCACCTTCAGGGTCCAGGTTGAAAAAAAATACCTGTTTCTGGTACCAAATCCTTGGGCTTATTGTGGGTTTTTTTCCTACCAAAGCTTCTCCTTGGATCAGGCTCCTGGACATGCTGCTGCTGGAGAAGTGTTGGAATAGTGTGGTGGGAAGAAAACTGTCCCCAAGAGGCTGCCTTGTTTCATCTTCCTAAATGATCCATTAGTTATTCCTGGGACTCCATGATCTCCAAGGTCTTTTCCAACCCAAAGGGTTCTATAATGTGGGTGGGTCAGAACATTCCTGGTGTGAGGTTTCCAAACGTGCTGGGGCTCTGGTGCCAGGTGGGTGCTGGAGCCAACCCTGCTCCCTGGGAGCAGATTCCTCATCCAAGGTCAAGCTCTTCTGCAGGAAAGACAAGAGAGGGCCCAGGGAAGAGCTGTGTGGGCTGGAGAACCCTCCTGCAGTGGCTTTTCCTTGGGTGAGGTCTGAGGTGCAGAGGAGTTTTGTGAAGAGTCCACTGTTACTTCTTGATCAGGAGGAGATCATATCATAGAACCATGGGATGGGTTTGGGTTGGAGAGACCTTCAAGAGCATCCAGTGCCACCCCCCCCATGGGCAGGGACACCTCCCAGCAGCCCAGGCTGCTCCAAGCCCCATCCAACCTGCCCTTCAACACCCCCAGGGATGGGGCAGCCACAGCTTCCCTGGGCAACCTGGCCCAGGTTCTCCCCACCCTCACACTCCACAATTCCCTCCTCAGCTCCAACCTCCAGCTCCCTCTCCCACTTTTCATCCCTCCCCCTCATCCCATCCCTCCCTGCCCTTGTCCCAAGTCCCTCCCCAGCTTTCCTGGAGCCCCTTCAGGCCCTGGAAGCTGCTCTAAGGTCTCGCTGGAGCCTTCTCCTCTCCAGGCTCAACACCCCAACTCTCCCAGCCTGGCTCCAGAGCTGCCCCAGCCCTCCCAGCATCTCCACGGCTCCTCTGGCCTTTCTCCACCAGCTCCATGTCCTTCCTGTGCTGGGGGCTCCAGAACTGGTCCCAGTTCTCCAGGGGGTCTCCCCAGAGCAGAGCAGAGGGGACAATCCCCTCCCTGGCCCTGCTGCCCACGCTGCTGGTGACACAGCCCAGGCCACGGGGGGTTTCTGGGCTCCAGCCCATCTTGAGCTTCTCCTCCACCCTCCAGTCACTTCCCACTCCACATTTTGAGTTGCACTCGGACTCACCATTAACAAAACCCCCTCAAACTCCTCCCAACCCCTTAGCCTTCACTTCCAACCTTCCCATAAGGTCACTTTTTCTTCTGGATGGTGCCTCTGACCCTTCTGTCCTGTCCTCAGCTGCCTTCCCTCATCGACTCAACCTCTTCTACTTGGCCAACGACGTCATCCAGAACTGCAAGAGGAAAAACGCCATCGTCTTTCGTGACACCTTTGCTGAGGTTCTCCCTGAAGCTGCTTCCTTAGTCAAGTGAGTAACCTTCTACTTCTCCCAAACCAGCAGTTTTTTACCTCTCCTGTCCCAAACTCTTGAGAAACAGCACCATTTTCAAGGGTTTGGTTGAACCACTTTGGGGGTTCCAGCTTCTCACTAAGAACGGGCCGGTGATCAGCACAGGGGGGGCTCATTTAGGTCAAATCATCCCATCAAGTGGCACATCTTGCACCAACACTTGGTCCCTAAGGGGCAGGATATGGTAAAATTCCCAACTGGCTCCATGGTAGGAACAGGGAATTGGGTTTGGAGCAGAGTTTGGAGCTGCAGGTGGTTGAACGTAGCACGAGGCAGGGAAAAGGTTGGATGGGTCCTGAGCTGAAATGTCAGTGTAAGTTGCCAGAGGGTGAGGTTGGAAATGGCATGAATAGATGCCAACCATGAGCAGGAAGGAGAAAAACATGTTGCTGAGTGGAATGGGAACCCAGCAGGACTCCAGGTCACCTGGTGGCTGCTCAGGTGGTGCTCAAAAGGTCCTTCCCCACCCAAATGCTCCTGAAAACCCCTTTCCTTCTGCATCCAGGGGTGTGGAGCAGCCCCTTTGCTCTGGGTTTGGAGCCAGTGGCCACCCAGGTCCCACAGGGAGCAGTGATGGCAGCTCCACTTCCCAATTCCAGTTCAATATTCCAAGCTGGTGTCCATCAGGGCAGTGGTTGCTGGGTGGTGACCAGGTCCAGGCTTGAGTGCTCTGGGACTTGAATTCAGGTTGCTTTGCTGGGAGTTCTCATCATTTGGGTGATCAATGAGGTGACAACTGGTTTGGTGTGACACCTGGCCATGGGTTTTTCCTCATTTCTCCCAAGACTTCACCCAGGGGAGTGGGAAGAACATGCTTGGAGAGGTTTATCCATCCCATTTTCTCCTGGAAACAAAGCACCTGGAGCACAAGACACCATTTGTCACCAGGCCATCTCCTTTTCTTCCTGCCTTTGGACATGTTCCAGGTGACACCACCTGCTTCCCAAGCTGGGAGCAGAGGGGATAGGATGTTTGCTTGGAGCTGAGCAGAACTTGTTTCTTGAGGAACCTTCTCCCCTCTGATCACCTGCTGTTCAGCCACCTCAACCTGGAATCATTAACCTTTGCAAAATCATCTTTTAATTTCCTCCCCTTCCAATAATCCCTTTTCCCCCCCAAACCCATCCATTTGGAAGAGCCTGAAGGGTCTCTTTTTGGCAAGTTTTGCTAGAAACAGTGAGTAAATCCCATCATTATCCAGCCTGGAACCCCAAAAAATCAGGCAGGGGCAAAGGAACCTCAACCTGCTCTTCCTTTTCCAGGGATCCATCTGTTTCCAAATCTATTGAAAGAATCTTCAAAATCTGGGAGGACAGAAACGTGTACCCTGAGGAAACCATTTTGGCACTTAAGGAAGCTCTGAGTAAGTTCATTTCCCTTTATCTTTCTTTACAAATGAATTAAATTAATTTAGTCTGTGGATTTATCCTTCCTGCTCTGGAGCAGCCACGTGTTGCACACCAGAATTCCTCTTCATTCACCTGGTTTTTTGGACCTTTCCCTAATTTCCCTCAATCCTTTCACATCAGCTGAAGTTGTTCCAGCTGAGATGAAACACAACCTGAAGGTACAATGATCCCACCAGCCCTGAACGTGGTGCTGGGCTCCACTTTTCAATCTGATTTAGTGGTTTTAATTAATTAATTGGTATTATGAATATTTTGGAGGGGGTAGGAAAGAAGCTGGAAGCAGTGGGGAGGATCCTGAAGTGATCTGGAGCTGCTGATGGTAACTGGGAACACCTGTGGTCAGTTAAACCCAGGAATTAGATGATATTCTAATATTTGGAAGGATATTAATCCACATTTATCCTTCATTTGGGGACATAATTAAGAGCTCAAGGTGCTTTGAGAAACCTTCAGTGCAGCTTGGTCATCCTGGCAGGAGACAAAAGGCTTGAGCTGAAAGTTGCATGTGGAGACAGAAGGTTTAGATGTTCCCTCTGACATCTCCAGCTTGAAAAACAACAACAACACTTCAGATTCCTTGGAAATCGGGGTCTCCTGACTCAGAAAATTGCCTGCTTGGAGTAAAAAAACAACCTTTGAGAGCTGTGTGGTTGAATTGTGCTGGTTTTCCTTTTCTCTCTGGTCATTTCTTAGCATTTGGGAACTGTCTCAGTGTTGAGGGACAAACAGAAACTTGATTTAAAACTCCAAGACCATCCCCCAAGTTGCTGCATTCCTGAGCAAACCCAGGTTCTCTTGGGCATCCAGCAGCTCCTCCTGAAGGAAGTTGGTCTAGAAATTAAACCAAATTTCTGTTCACTTGCAATAAACCCAAACCCAAACCAAACAAAACCAGATTCTTCAAGGAATCCCCATGATCCCAGAGTGCCAAAAAAATGAAATGTTTTCCAGGTACCACTTTCAAAACTCAGAAGCAGCTGAAAGAAACTCTGAACAAACAACCGAATAAGCCGTGGAAGAAATCACAAAGTAAGAATGAAATCTGAATTAATCTCAAAATTCCCTTCTCAGGGAAGAGAAGAAGGTCCAGCCCCAAGTGGGAACAGTACCTGGACTAAAGCAGGAGCCAGCATGCATCTTCCAGGCTCATAAAGTTAATCCATAAAGGTCCTAATCCATGAAGGTCCTCAGTTATAAAGCTCCTCATCCCTGAAGCTCTTCATTTATGAAGCTCCTTGTCTCTAAAGCACCAAGGAGTTGTTGCTAGAGGAGCAGTTTTTACAGAATTGAAATGGAAATCATTCTGAGAGTGGAGGTTGTGGATGGTAAAAGAGCTGGTGGAACCTCTTGGAAACTGGAGTTAGAGGTGGAGAGAAGACAGAGAGAACTTTGGCAGCAGGAGGTGGATCCTGCATCTTCCACAGCAAACTGAGTGCTAGGGGGAAAGAGAACTGGCAGCTGGTAGTGCAGATCATCCTAGAGCAATGGGATGGTTTGGGTTGGAGGGACCTTCAAGAGCATCCAGTGCCACCCCCTGCATGGGCAGGGACACCTCCCAGCAGCCCAGGCTGCTCCAAGCCCCATCCAACCTGCCCTTCAACACCCCCAGGGATGGGGCAGCCACAGCTTCCCTGGGCAACCTGGCCCAGGCTCTCCCCACCCTCACACTCCACAATTCCCTCCTCAGCTCCAACCTCCAGCTCCCTCTCCCACTTTTCATCCCTCCCCCTCATCCCATCCCTCCCTGCCCTTGGCCCAAGTCCCTCTCCAGCTTTCCTGGAGCCCCTTCAGGCCCTGGAAGCTGCTCTAAGGTCTCCCTGGAGCCTTCTCCTCTCCAGGCTCAACACCCCAACTCTCCCAGCCTGGCTCCAGAGCTGCCCCAGCCCTCCCAGCATCTCTGGGGCCTCCTCTGGCCTCTCTCTACCAGCTCCACGTCCTTCCTGTGCTGGGAGCTCCAGAACTGGTCCCAGTTCTGCCCATCCAGCAGAGCAGTCTGGCAGGAATTGCATTTATAAGAGACCAGTTTTACTCAAAACTTCCACACTGAGGCCTTGGCTGGTCCTGGAAGCCTGAAGATGGAACGTTGGGTGGAATTCCCACCTCTCCTGAGATCAGAGAGGTGAAAACAGTTTGAAAGGAGTTTGAAAATGTTTGTTTCTTGCCTTAACACCCTGAGCTTCTTGCCCCAACCCCACTGTGCTCCACCCAGCACAGCTGAATGTGCTTCTTGCCTCATCTTTTCTCCTGCTTTGTCCCAAATGGATTGAGTGTCTCTTGACTCTTAATTCCTTCTCCCTGGTCTGATTAGAAGATGTCAGTGAAGGTCTGAGTGGTTTGAAAGGTGAGGGCTGAAGGGAATTCTGGGCTGTGTGTAGCAGCTCCAGGTCTGGCACTTGGGAAGTGATACTCCTTGTAGAGAGGTGTCAACTCCTCAGGAATAACATCACCCTCCTTGTAGAGAGGTACAAACTCACTGGGAATAAAATTACCCTCTTTCTAGATGTGTTAAAATCCTCAGAAATAATTTGACCCTCCTTGCAGAGGGGTCTGAACTCTGGGAATAACTTGGCCCTCCTTGAAAAAAGGTAGAAACCCCTCAAAAATCTTCTCCTCCTTTGTAGAGAGGTGGAAATGGATCAGAAATCATTTCCCCCTCCTTTTAGAGAGGAATAAACTCACTGGAAATGCTTCTGCCCTCCTTGCAGGGAAGTGTAACCTCCTCAGAAATATTCCCCACCTGCTAGAGGAGCTGTGACCTCCTCAGGAATATTCCAGAGACCTGTAAACTCCTTAGAAATCACATTCTTCTCCTTTTAGAGATGTAGAAACTGATGGGAAATGATATTCCCCTTCTTTTAGAGGGGTTTGAACTGGTTGGAAACCCTTCCTTCCTCCTGGAGAGGTGGGAACTCCTCAGAACTCAGGTTCCCTTCCTCCTGGAGTGGTGGGAACTCCTCAGAACTCAGGTTCCCTTCTTCCTGGAGTGGTGGGAACTCCTCAGAACTCAGGTTCCCTTCCTCCTGGAGAGGTGGAAACCTCAGCACTCATGTTCCCTTCCTCCTGGAGAGGTGGGAATTCAGCTTCCCTTCCTCCTAGAGAGGTTCAGCCTCCTGGACTCAGCTCAGCTGAGCCCCTGCAGGGATGTCCCTTCCCCCCAGCAGGGCTGGAGCAGGGACCAGGCAGGAGACCTTCCTAGTGCATTGAGAAAGAGCAAGAAGAGAATTCCTAGAGCTGGGACCTTGAGGTGCCTCTTGAGGGACACGGTGTATGGAGGGAAATTGTCACCAGCAGCAACACCCCCAGGGCTGCTGTTCAGTGGGGTGAAAATGATGGTTGCCCCAACTGGTTGTTGTGACTGCTGGTTGCTCAGGGTGTAGTTTTGTGGTTTCCTGACCCTTTCTCTTTGTCCCAACAGCCTCCACCAACCCGAAAGCTGCTCTGAAGTCCAAGATTGTTGCTGAATTCAGAGTAAGTCTGCAAGAAGTTGTTCTGCTCCCCAGTCTTCATTCTTGGGGTGTAGCTTTTCTGTAGCTCGTGTCCACCAGCAGCAGCAGGATCTCCATGGGAAGTGTCCAGGGGTTGGTTGTTCCACAGTTTGTCCTCTCAGGAGCTGCTTGAAATCCCTGTGTCCTGTTTTTGAGGTTGTTCTGGGTGGTTTTTGAGCAAAGAGCAGGATCAGGTTGTCCTAGTGAAGGAGGAGTTGAGGGGGTTGGTGGCAAGAAATGAAGGTAAATTAGGTCTCTCAGAGGAGTGTGGTGTGATGACCAAGTGTGTGGGCACCAGGAGAGGGGAAAAAGGGAATGAAAAAAAACTTGGGACAGGAAACTTGAGGGATCATCCACCTGAACCTGTTGATTTGGGGTTAAAAATGTCAGGATTGTTCCTGGCTGAGCAGGAATCGGCGCGGGAGGGGTTGGTTGGTTGGTGGGTTTGGGTTCCTGGTTGAAACGGTTGGTTGGTTGGTGGGGTTTGGGTTCCTGGCTGAAGCTGAAGTCCCTGGAATGTGCCTCTTCCCTGGAATGTGATGAGGATGCTTTTCCTGTTGGATTGTTTTTGTTTCTCCCCCCCCCCCAGCCCCAGTCTCTGATTGATGAGCTGCTGTTGTACAAACGCTCGGAAGACCAGATTGAGCTGAAGGAGAAGCAACTTTCCACCATGAGGGTGGATGTTTGCAGCACGGAGACACTCAAGTGCTTGAAAGGTAAAAGAAGAGGTTTGAAATTCCAGCTCCAAACTCTGGGCAGGAAAGAGCTTCAGTGTCTGGAAAACATCAAGGTTCCAGAGTTGGTTAATCAAGAATTGGTCTAAAAACTCTGGGTGAATTTAACCCCAGTTCCTGAAAACCTGCTCAAGTGAAGTGGGAGGGTTGGAGATGGGGGGGGTGCTGGTCAGACACCCCTTCTGAGATCATTCATGTAAGATGGGCATTAAAATGGGAGGGTGGGGAGAGCCTGGGCCAGGTTGGCCAGGGAAGCTGTGGCTGCCCCATCCCTGGGGGTGTTGAAGGGCAGGTTGGATGGGGCTTGGAGCAGCCTGGGCTGCTGGGAGGTGTCCCTGCCCATGGGGGGGTTGGATCTAGATAATCCTTAAGGTCCCTTCCAACCCATCCCATGATTCTACAAAAACTCCAGATATTCCTAATGTGTCAGAACCTTTTGGGATTGATGCCCATCATCTGGTTGAGGACCCGATTTTGGCACCTGATTTCCTTGGCCTTCATCTCCTTGCAGACAAAACAGGAGGCAAGAAGTTCTCCAAGGAGTTTGAAGAAGCCAGTTCTAAGCTGGAAGAGTTTGTCAATGGTTTGGACAAGCAAGTGAAAAATGGTCCCTCACTCACTGAAGCTCTGGAGAACGCTGGGATATTTTATGAAGCTCAGTACAAGGAAGTCAAGGTGGTTGCAAACGTAAGGATGAGTTTTCCTCCATCTTCCTGGGATGGGTTGATGTCTGGGGCTTGTTGGCCAAGGATTTTGGAGGCTGGAAAATGGTTTGGGAAGAGTTTTAAAAGAGTTGGGATGTGGGGGCCAAAAAGAGGTTGGGAAAATTCCTGGGTTGGGAGGCTCAGAGCTGGAGCGTGGCTGGAATGTTGGGAGATCCTTGGGTGGAGTTATGGTTGGTCCCCAAAAATCCTGGGTTGGAACAAGTTGGGATCAATCTGGGAGTGGGATGAAGAAAGGAGGAATCCAGTAGAATGCAAAAACAATCAGTCCCCCCAACCCAACCACCCCAAATCCCCCCCAAACCGTCCAAAAAACACCCCCAACCCTTCCAAAACACCCCCGAACCATCTCAGAACACTTTCCAATGCTACCAAAACACCCCAAATGCTCCAAAACCAACACCCAACCCTACCAAAACACCCCCAAACACCACCATATTTCTAAAACAAAAGGGGTTTTGAAGTGAAATGGTCATGGGAGAGGTTTCCTCTTCCCACTTTCGTGGTGGGCCCCATCCTCCTTCCTTTCTCAGGCTTATAAAACGTTTGCCAATCGAGTGAGCAACCTAAAGAAGAAGCTGGACCAGTTGAAAGCAACTCTTCCTGATCCAGAGGAGTCTCCTGTTCCTTCTCCAAGCATGGATGCTCCATCTCCAACGGGCTCTGAGTCCCCTTTCCAGGGGATGGGGGAAGAGGAGGGTTCCCGCTCTCCGGGGGCTGGAACCCGCAAGGTGGTGTCTCCAGAACCTGTGACAGATAATCGGGACGTGGAGGACATGGAGCTCTCTGATGTGGAGGATGATGCCTCTAAAATCATTGGTAGGTTGGAAGAGCAAGAGTAATGGTTGTGGAGAAATTCCACTTGGGATCAAACGGCCCCTTGCAGGATCCCTTGGGATGTCATGGGTGCACGAAGGCCTTGGTGGGCTTGTTGGTGCTGTTGGGTTTTGGTCTCCTGCCCCAAGCACAGGGAGGTCCTGATCTTGTTGGTGTTGTTGCCATTTCCCAAACCACTCATGGAATCAGAACTAATGATGAGGATCCCATTGAGCTTCTGGAGAGAGGCCAGAGGAGGCCCCAGAGATGCTGGGAGGGCTGGGGCAGCTCTGGAGCCAGGCTGGGAGAGTTGGGGTGTTGAGCCTGGAGAGGAGAAGGCTCCAGGGAGACCTTAGAGCAGCTTCCAGGGCCTGAAGGGGCTCCAGGAAAGCTGGGGAGGGACTTGGGCCAAGGGCAGGGAGGGATGGGATGAGGGGGAGGGATGAAAAGTGGGAGAGGGAGCTGGAGGTTGGAGCTGAGGAGGGAATTGTGGAGTGTGAGGGTGGGGAGAGCCTGGGCCAGGTTGGCCAGGGAAGCTGTGGCTGCCCCATCCCTGGGGGTGTTGAAGGGCAGGTTGGATGGGGCTTGGAGCAGCCTGGGCTGCTGGGAGGTGACCCTACCCATGGGGGGTGGGATCTGGATGCTCTTGAAGGTCCCTCCAACCCATTCCATCCCATGGCTCCACAATCCCATTCTATGTATAATCCCATATCCCAAGTCATTCCTCAGGGACGCGGTGACATCTCCAGCCTTGTTGTCCCTCTCCCTGCAGTGGAGGAACGGAAGGAGAAGCAGGCAGCTCCAGCTCCAGCCCCAGCACCTCCCAAGACTGAAAGTGTCCCCAAGACTATGCCTCCCACTGCCACAGCAGGGGCCACCCCCGTGACAGTGACCCCCCCAGCCCCGGCTCCCGCCGCTCCCAAGGCCGTCGGCGCCGCGCCCGTCCCAGCACCAGCCCTGGCCCTGCCCAACCTGGCCAACGTGGACCTGGCCAAGATCAGCTCCATCCTGAGCAGCTTAACTTCTGTCATGAAAAACACAGGTGGGTCCTGAGCCCAGTTCCTGTTGGGTTGGAAGGTTTTGAAGCTTTTAATTGTCTCCCAGTACGTGGAAGTGGGTTCCTCCTGAGGAGGGGTCCCTGACACACACACAACTCTTGGGTCTCTGGGGAACTTTTCTCCAAAACTTCCATTAGCAACATTCCTGAATGGTGTGTCCTTCCATCCCAGGTGTCAGCCCGGCCTCCAGACCTTCTCCAGGAACCCCCACGAGCCCAACAGCTCTTACCAGTGGCCTGAAGACTCCTGTCCTGGGGGCACCATCTGCTCCTTCCAACCCTTTAGCAAATATTCTCTCCAAAGTGGAAATAACTCCTGAAAGTATTTTGTCTGCTCTCTCCAAAACCCAGACTCAGACAGCACCAGCACTGCAAGGTACCCAGGTCCTGGGTGTCCACGTGGGGCATGGAATCCCTGCACCTCGTGGTGTTTGGGTTAGATGAGGCTTGGAACAACCTGGGCTGGGGGGAGTGTCCCAGGGGGGTTTGGATGTAGGTGATCTCTAAGACAATTCCATGGGTCTGTGATTAAAAGGAAATGCTTCACTGAGGGTGGGGAGAGCCTGGGCCAGGTTGCCCAGAGAAGCTGTGGCTGCCCCATCCCTGGGGGTGTTGAAGGGCAGGTTGGATGGGGCTTGGAGCAGCCTGGGCTGCTGGGAGGTGTCCCTGCCCATGCAGGGGGTGGGACTGGATGGGCTTTAAGGTCCCTTCCCACCCAACCCATCCCATGATTCTATGAAAACGACTCACAAACGCCAAGCATCTTCCCTTCCCAGTGGCTCCAGTTGACTTCCCCCTTCCCAGGATTTCTGAACCCATCCTCTTCTTCCTTCCAGGTTTGTCATCCCTGCTGCAGAGCGTGGCTGGGAACACGGCTCAGCCCAGCGAAGCGGCGCCGAGCGCGGCGGCATCGCCGGCCAACGCCCCCGTTCCCTGCCTGAAGGGCAGGAATGTCCCTTCCAACCCTCAGCCCTTCATAGCCAAGAGTTTTGGTTACTCTCCAAGCTCATCCACTGCTGAGGTTTCCTCCACTTCGGTCACCAAGGCTCCTGTTGGACACACCCCAGGGCTCTCAAGCTCCGGTTTTAAGCCGCCAAGTAATTCCCTGGGATTTCCCACCTCCCACCCCACCAGCCCCTCTTCCCTTTTGCCACCAGAACCATCCCTGGCTCAATCCACGGAAATTCCAAAAGCCAAGCTGGAGTCGGAGCCCCCTTCTCCAAGCCTGGAGATGAAGATCCACAATTTCCTGAAGGGAAACCCTGGCTTCAGTGGCCTCAACTTGAATATTCCCATTCTCAGCAGCCTGGGCTCCAGCATCCCCGCGGAGAGTCACGCGTCCGACTTCCCGCGCGGTCCCACCAGCACTTCCATGGACAACGTGGACGGAACCCCCGTGCGCGACGAGCGGAGCGGGACGCCCACCCAGGACGAGATGATGGACAAACCCACCTCCAGCAACGTGGACACTATCTCCCTGCTGTCCAAAATCATGAGCCCTGGATCTTCTACTCCCAGCAGCACCAGGTCTCCTCTGCAGAGCCGGGATGATGGATATTCCCAGGAAATTCCCAACTCTGTGCACACCTACCGGCCCTTTGGCCTGGGCAGAGACTCTCCGGCCGGTCGGTACAAGCCACCTGCAGACAGCCTGGAGATCCCTTCCTCTTTGATGGACTCCTCCCAGGAGAAGTTTTACCCAGACACATCTTTCCAAGAAGACGAAGATTACCGGGACTTCGATTACTCGGGCCCGCCACCGTCGGCCATGCTGAACCTGGAGAAGAAACCAGCCAAATCCATCTTGAAATCCAGTAAACTCTCAGAAACTGGAGACTACCAGCCAGTCCTATCCAGCTACGCTCCAAGATCCCAGGAGTTTGGTGTCAAATCATCCTTCCCTCAATCCATGAGGTCCATCCTGGAGCAGAGCGAGAGCTGCGACCCGCTGGGATCCTCCCCGGGGATCTACGGGAGCTACGGCCTCCGGGGCAGCGACTCCACCACGGATGGTTCCCCCTCTCCCAGCAAGAACGAGGTGTTTTTCACCCCAGATTCCAACCACAACACCCTGCCCAAGGCCGTGGTGCACTCGGGCCTCTCGCAGAAGCAATACCCGGACTCTCCCCACTCTGTTCCTCACCGTTCTCTTTTCCCTTCTCCAAACCCCCTCTCCAGCCCTGCTGGCAGAGTCCCCACCACCAACGTGGAGAAATCTTTGGCTTCTTCCATCTCAGCCACTTCCACCATGGAATTCAAGAACATGCTGAAAAACGCTTCCCGGAAACCATCCGAGGAGAAGCATTTTGGGCCACTTTCCAAAAACTCCGGTGAGGGGGGGAATTTATCCAGTGCTGCCAAGGGGGAGGCTCAAGAGGAGCACTATAGGATCGAGACCAGGGTCTCCTCCTCCTGCTTGGACCTTCCTGACAGCACGGAGGAGAAAGGAGCTCCCATCGAGACGCTGGGATACCACAACGCCTCCAGCAGGGGGATGTCGGGAGAGCCCATCCAGACGGTGGAATCCATCCGTGTGCTGGGGAAAGGGCCGCGGGGACGGGAGGCCAATCGGGCGACCGGTTGGTTCGAGATGGGAGGAGGCACCTCTGGCTTTGACAACGGCCCCTCGGGCACTTCGGAGCTGCCCGGGATGGGGGG